AAACACACACACACACACACACACACACACAGGGACACCCCCACACACACACACACACACACACACACACACACACACACGCACACCACACACACCACAGGCACCACACACACACACACACACACACACACACACCCCACACACACACACATACAGAGAGATTGTTGATTGATTGAGAGAGAGAGAGAGAGAGAGAGAGAGAGAGAGAGAGAGAGAGAGAGAGAGAGAGAGAGAGAGAGAGAGAGAGGGTAGTACACACACACTCGTCCGCAGAACGAATTGGCTGGCATCGAGGCTGCCAACACCTCCCCCAGTGCACGGCCTGGCGAGCTAAGCTGGCGAGGTACTTCCAGCCTGCTGTGGGAGCAGTTGACGTAGTCTCGCCGAGGCTCGCCCCAGCATCTCGGGTTGACTCCGTGCGAGCGACGTCGGGTCCCGGCGGTAACGCGATGCCAGCTGCGCGATGCGCGGCTCGCTCGTTGATGATCCTCTGATGCTCTGTTTTAGGACGAAAGACCGAAAATGAAACGTCGCGTCGGGCGCCCCGAAGGCGGGCGCCCCCTGACGGACTCGTGTGGACGGAGAGAGTGTGAAGTGCGGGACACGCTGTGGTTCGGACGGACTCGGCCAGACAAAAACCCGGAGATGCGTGGAGTAGGAATTCCATGGGTTAAGCGGGGTTCGCGCGAGCTGCGCGAATTCCTAGGAGAAAAGGGAGAGTGCGGACTTGCGGTGTGTTCTCTAGGCTTTGTTTGATCGTTCGTGAGAGAGAGAGAGATTTGTGTTGTTCGTGTGTGGGGAACTAGTTTGTCTCCGATTCACACATCCAAGCATCACAAGTAAGGATACATTGGCGCGCTACAAGGGTCCGTCCGTCGCATACGCGATACGGCGTCTCGTGCGTCCACACTGGGAGCTACACGGCACGGGATTCGGGAATTCCATAAAGAGAGGTTACAGGTGGGTTAAGATCCGTTAGCGGGGGATCGGAGGGAGCTGCGGGACGTTACGACGTCTTCGAGGCGTGCGGACGGTTTCAGCTCTCTCTGCACCGAGCGAGCGAGGCCGTCGACGCTGCCATGATCGTGGCTGCTGACGCCGGCGCGCCGCCGGGCGAGGACCCGCTGGCGGACCGCCGCGAGGACCCGGAGGCGGTGGGAGACGATCGAGGGGTCCCGTACCATGCGGAATCCATTCTATCCGGTGCTCAAGTCCCGTTCGATTTCTTCTTCGCCGTCGGGCCGGAGACCGATACGGTCGGTTGCGCGCCGCCAGTCGGCGAGCTCCTCTTTGCGCAGCGCCGCAGGCGCCCGGCTCGGGCCTCCCGGCGCGCGAGCAACAGTCATCACCGCGGTCGCCGCATGCCCACGCTGTTTGCGCAGTTCTACGCGGCGGCGCACACGGACCTGCTCGTGTGGGGC